GGGCTCCGGCTATTTTTATCATGTGATCTATTTGAAGCTCAGTGGTCCTGGAAGTCTCCTATGAGAAGTGACAGCTGCGGCAGGCTCCTCCCACTCTCCGTACAATCCAGCGCCATGTCCGAGGGGCGTGCAGGGCGTATGAGGGGCCTGCGGAGGTCTCCGGCCACAAGCCCGTGGCTGACTTCCGTCATGCAGAACGTGGTGCTGGATTCTGGACATGCAGGACCTGACGTCTCAGCCATTGCACTTAAGGCATGCTACAGTGACATACAATTCTGGCTGAGCGGCCACTTTAGCGCGCCTTAAGCTCAATTCATTCAGTTCGCCAAATCTCCGAACCCAAAAAAGCGTCTTCCCTGGGCTGCAGGACGTTCCCCTCGGCCCAACGCTGTCCGGCCCTTCGGGCGCCAACAAGTCTCACGATGAATGTATTTGTAGCGCAGCGCTGAGACATCATTGAGATGCAGCACAATTTCCATAACTCCTGCAGTGCCGAGGGCTGATTGTAGGGTGAGTCGGGGTATTGGGCTGCACCATACAGGAAGTGATTTTTGCTCAGCGCACGAGTCGTCTTCCTGTCCGGTTTCCTGTTTTCTCACTCTTCACTTTCTCTCCGTGTCACAGGCTGCCGTGTTCGCCCCTTTATCCGTCTCTGCTGCTGCCGGACTCGCCGACTCTTCCAGGACCGCACCAGTCCCAGGTACCTAAAACGCCTCAAAGACCTGGGAACCCGCCATCCCTGTGCTGAGTTCCCGGGTCTGTACACCTGCTGTGCCCATTATGAGGGGCTCCCACCATCCCTGTGCTGAGTTCCCGGGTCTGTACACCTGCTGTGCCCATTATGAGGCGCTTCCACCATCCCTGTCCTGAGTTCCCGGGTATGTACAGCTGCGGTGCCCATTATGAGGAGCTCCCACCATCCCTGTGCTGAGTTCCTGGGTCTGTACACCTGCTGTGCCCATTATGAGGCGCTTCCACCATCCCTGTCCTGAGTTCCCGGGTATGTACAGCTGCGGTGCCCATTATGAGGAGCTCCCACCATCTCTGTGCTGAGTTCCCGGGTCTGTACACCTGCTGTGCCCATTATGAGGCGCTTCCACCATCCCTGTCCTGAGTTCCCGGGTATGTACAGCTGCGGTGCCCATTATGAGGAGCTCCCACCATCTCTGTGCTGAGTTCCCGGGTCTGTACACCTGCTGTGCCCATTATGAGGCGCTTCCACCATCCCTGTCCTGAGTTCCCGGGTATGTACAGCTGCGGTGCCCATTATGAGGAGCTCCCACCATCTCTGTGCTGAGTTCCCGGGTCTGTACACCTGCTGTGCCCATTATGAGGCGCTTCCACCATCCCTGTCCTGAGTTCCCGGGTATGTACAGCTGCGGTGCCCATTATGAGGAGCTCCCACCATCTCTGTGCTGAGTTCCCGGGTCTGTACACCTGCTGTGCCCATTATGAGGCGCTTCCACCATCCCTGTCCTGAGTTCCCGGGTATGTACAGCTGCGGTGCCCATTATGAGGAGCTCCCACCATCTCTGTGCTGAGTTCCCGGGTCTGTACACCTGCTGTGCCCATTATGAGGCGCTTCCACCATCCCTGTCCTGAGTTCCCGGGTATGTACAGCTGCGGTGCCCATTATGAGGAGCTCCCACCATCTCTGTGCTGAGTTCCCGGGTCTGTACACCTGCTGTGCCCATTATGAGGCGCTTCCACCATCCCTGTCCTGAGTTCCCGGGTATGTACAGCTGCGGTGCCCATTATGAGGAGCTCCCACCATCTCTGTGCTGAGTTCCCGGGTCTGTACACCTGCTGTGCCCATTATGAGGCGCTTCCACCATCCCTGTCCTGAGTTCCCGGGTATGTACAGCTGCGGTGCCCATTATGAGGAGCTCCCACCATCTCTGTGCTGAGTTCCCGGGTCTGTACACCTGCTGTGCCCATTATGAGGCGCTTCCACCATCCCTGTCCTGAGTTCCCGGGTATGTACAGCTGCGGTGCCCATTATGAGGAGCTCCCACCATCTCTGTGCTGAGTTCCCGGGTCTGTACACCTGCTGTGCCCATTATGAGGCGCTTCCACCATCCCTGTCCTGAGTTCCCGGGTATGTACAGCTGCGGTGCCCATTATGAGGAGCTCCCACCATCTCTGTGCTGAGTTCCCGGGTCTGTACACCTGCTGTGCCCATTATGAGGCGCTTCCACCATCCCTGTCCTGAGTTCCCGGGTATGTACAGCTGCGGTGCCCATTATGAGGAGCTCCCACCATCTCTGTGCTGAGTTCCCGGGTCTGTACACCTGCTGTGCCCATTATGAGGCGCTTCCACCATCCCTGTCCTGAGTTCCCGGGTATGTACAGCTGCGGTGCCCATTATGAGGAGCTCCCACCATCTCTGTGCTGAGTTCCCGGGTCTGTACACCTGCTGTGCCCATTATGAGGCGCTTCCACCATCCCTGTCCTGAGTTCCCGGGTATGTACAGCTGCGGTGCCCATTATGAGGAGCTCCCACCATCTCTGTGCTGAGTTCCCGGGTCTGTACACCTGCTGTGCCCATTATGAGGCGCTTCCACCATCCCTGTCCTGAGTTCCCGGGTATGTACAGCTGCGGTGCCCATTATGAGGAGCTCCCACCATCTCTGTGCTGAGTTCCCGGGTCTGTACACCTGCTGTGCCCATTATGAGGCGCTTCCACCATCCCTGTCCTGAGTTCCCGGGTATGTACAGCTGCGGTGCCCATTATGAGGAGCTCCCACCATCTCTGTGCTGAGTTCCCGGGTCTGTACACCTGCTGTGCCCATTATGAGGCGCTTCCACCATCCCTGTCCTGAGTTCCCGGGTATGTACAGCTGCGGTGCCCATTATGAGGAGCTCCCACCATCTCTGTGCTGAGTTCCCGGGTCTGTACACCTGCTGTGCCCATTATGAGGCGCTTCCACCATCCCTGTCCTGAGTTCCCGGGTATGTACAGCTGCGGTGCCCATTATGAGGAGCTCCCACCATCTCTGTGCTGAGTTCCCGGGTCTGTACACCTGCTGTGCCCATTATGAGGCGCTTCCACCATCCCTGTCCTGAGTTCCCGGGTATGTACAGCTGCGGTGCCCATTATGAGGAGCTCCCACCATCTCTGTGCTGAGTTCCCGGGTCTGTACACCTGCTGTGCCCATTATGAGGAGCTCCCACCATCCCTGTGCTGAGTTCCCGTGTCTGTACGCCTGCTGTGCCCATTATGAGGGGTTCCCTCTCATGCAGCGTACCTAAAATCATCAGAAATGTTTCCTTTGACCTTCTGGAGGTTTCTCTGGAGCGGCCTTAGGACAGACTGTGAGCTACTCTGAGCAATTTCAAAGTGAGTTGGTCCATCAGACAGAGTGACTCCGTCCAACAGATAGAGCAAACTGGCCCCCCCTTCTCTTAGACAGGGCAAGCTACCCCCCACCCACACACAGAGTGTGTCAATCACCCCCAACAGGGCCGTTTGTCCCCACACAGGATGAGTAGGTTTCCCCAGACAAAGCAAATCAAACCCCCCCAACAGAACAACGTCTCGCCCACCACCGCCACCTTCCTCAAACCCCTTCCTCAGAGAATGAAAACACTTTTTGGGAGTTTTCAGAAAAGAGCACAAAAAGAAAAGTTGAACAGTCATGTATGTACGTATGCTGTGATACTACTACATGGGAGGGAACACGTAATAGACATAAAGTAGGTGGTTTCCCAATTTGGCTGCTAAAGTGGAAATACTCTTTATTTTATTTCATTTCATTTTATTTCTTTTTCATTTTATTTACATAGTTACATATAGTTACATAGTATTTGAGGTTGAATAAAGACATTAGTCCATCAAGTCCAACCTATTAGGATCTCATTCTAGGACTTTTTCATTTTATTTCATTTCTATTTCATTTCATTTTATATTATTGTATTTCATTTCTTTATCATTTAATTTAATTTTACATTATTTTATTTCCTTTTTTATTTATTGTATTTCATTTATATTATTTGATTGCCTTTCTTTTTTATTTGTATTTCATTTAATTTTATATTATTTTATTTCATTTCTTTTTCTTTTTCATTTTATTTCATTTTATATTATTTTTTATTTTGTTTTAATTGCTTTTATTTATTTTTACTTGTAAGGTTTCTGTAACTAAGGAGCCGGTTTTCTGGCCAACCAGGAAGCCGGGGGGCGGGTAATGACTTGCGGCTCGGCTTCCTGATTGGCCAGCTTCCCGACCAATCAAGAAGCTGGGCAGCTGATTGACCGTGAATCTAGTTCCATGCTTCCTGGTTATGAGTGTGTAATGACTGGGCGCCCAGCTTCCTGATTGGACATAAGCTGGGCGTAGGAGATACGTCCTAGACCTAGACGCTTCCTCATAGTTTTTTGAGGACGTATCTCCTACGCTCAGAATCCTCGAGTGGTTCAAAAAGGTGACGGTTGTTAATAAATACGGAGCACAGTAAATGTCATCCAGTTCCGAATGGTATCGACCCGTGCCAAGCTTTGACGGAGATGAGGATGTTACATCATTGCCGGCTATGACATCATCATCACCTCAGGGTCTTATCTTGATATGAAGAAAGCTCTCTTGTCTGATGTCCCGGAACGTTTTTAAACTTCAATCATCAGTGATATGTTGTTCTTGCTGCTTCCAGACTGGACTGACTTGCTCCTGAATGGTGTATTCATTGTTTGTACATCCTGCTCACATCTCTATGACACTCCTGTGCTTGTTCTGCCTTTCCTTCCACAGGACCCCTGAAATGAAGGCACTTCCTGTCTGGTCCATCGGTGGACCCCATATTCCCGGGAGCCCATGACCTTAATTCTGATCACTTCAGGTGAGCCAGGTTTTCTGCAGCAGAGGAGCTTACACTCTAATGTCCCCCCCACAGTCGCACACTATTATACATGTATATAGCTCTGACATATACCGCAGCGCTGTACAGAGAACACTGAGCCAGTCACATCAGTCTCTGTACAGAGGAGCTTACACTCTAATGTCCCCCCACAGTCACATCAGTCTCTGTACAGAGGAGCTTACACTCTAATGTCCCCCCACAGTCACATCAGTCTCTGTACAGAGGAGCTTACACTCTAATGTCCCCCCACAGTCACATCAGTCTCTGTACAGAGGAGCTTACA